CCAGACTCAGATGCATCACATATTTCGCTCTACACAGAGATTCCTCATCAAGGAAAAGCCGAGGGTACGGCTCCCAGTTTCAATAAGTGTACTCAGTTTAAAAACACTTGGCAAGAAGTTCTCGGAACAACAAAAATTATTTCCTACCGAGGTAAAATAGGCATCTCCCCTTTTCATAAGTATTTCCCACTTTTTTCTTCTTTGTTTATCTGGCTTGTCTGAAGGAAACTCAGTCGTGGAAATGATAAATCAGGTCGGTTTTTACTTCGATTATTAGAGTTTGAAGCCACACAACACTTGTGTCCAGCTGTTTTCCTTTTCTTTACCACATTTCCTCCAGACAAGTAGCTCTAACCTACGTATATTCGAATTTTTTCGTTCTTCCCCCGCATTTTGTCCGCCATTTTGAAAGCACGAGGCTATTAAACCTCGCTTGCGTGCAACTTCCGGTATTTTTCTGGAATCGGTGTATGCTAAGAGTGGTTGTCACGTGAGAAGTGTGCCAAGTGATGCACGTGCAGAGTACACGTTCAGAGCACACGTGAGCTGTTCATAGTTACATAACTTACATTACATTAATAATTACCGTAACATTCCGAAAGTAGCGACCCCCCGAAAGTAACGACCCCCGGAAGTAGCAAAGTTCAATGGTATATTTATTTTTCAAGTGTCAAATAAAAACGCGCTGTAACTTAATGACGATAAATAAGGCTCTCTACAAGATAAAAATATTGACATGAACTTCGCCGTGAGATGTCGATACATAATGTCGGTAGTGCGTAATGAAATAGGAACCGTTTTCGGTATCTGACTAGCTTTCCTGCCGACGACTGACAACACAGTCTAGACATGAGAAGCCCACTCACGTGGTTTCAACATAACTTTAAACTGGACTGAACACTTTCATTCCATTTGAACTGTTTTCGCGTATTCCGTCTTTTATTTCCTAACAAAAGCTCAGTCGCACCAACCAACAGTTATGTATAACGTTTTTGGCGCTTCAAAGGTAACGACCTTTCGAGAGTAGCCACCCCCAAAGGCTGCTAATAGCGAAAGTAAAAAGGGTCGTTAATTTTGGAATTTCACGGTAAAATACATTTACATAATTGACACACAGCTCACGTGCTTAAAATTGCGCGTGGAAAGTTGAAGGGCCAGCTAAAAACGAAAATTAAAGTGTCTGCGTTTATATCGAATAACAATTGAAACAAGAGTGGATGTTTGGAAGAACGAGAAATACTGTGGAGACACGAGCGGAAAGCGAGTGTTTCCTTAACGTTTTCGAGTTCTTGGCTCCCAAACTTTCAAGGGTGTGTTTTACAATGTAGAGAAAGGAAATTAGGAAGATATTTAGCCTGAATAGCACTCTGGCTATCCTAAAAAACGCTACTGTTAGCCTGAACATCACTGACTGGGCAATACTAGATCTCGGTATAAATAAAGGCTCGCCATCGTTGGCCAAATCTGAACACGCCAGTAGTTCTCTCTCACACTTATGAGTTGTTTGCACTTGAATATTTATCGAGATCAAAACACGCGTAAATCAATTTAATTCGCACACTGACTCAAATAGGTTTTAGTTAAAGAAAATACGAGCAACTAACCTCAGGGTCTTTGCCATCTTTTGGAGTTATTGTTCCAGTTACGGAAGCACACAGAAGTGTCTTCCTCTCCATGACGCGAAGTTGCAAATGATCTAACCGGGCTTATGTTGCCTTATAAGAAATTCTGTTCCGCACGCGCGTGTGTTCATGCATGCCTAAATCGAATGTTACTTCCTTGTTGCATGTGATTCCCATGATATTTTCCAACAGATACCTAAGTTTGGACCAGTTTGCTATTTTCAAGTCTTGTTTCAGTTATGTCTTCCTGTCTGAGTCACCTAGGTAATTACTTCCTTATTTGTAAACTGCTGGCCGGGCTGCTGAAATCTCTGCCGGACTGCCCTGGCTCAGTATGCTTAGCAGAAGTCAGCTCTAGAGAACGTCGAGGTTGCTAAACAATTTTAGAAAAAAGGGCTAATATAAGTAAGTATAACCACACAAGTAATAGATGCTTTTAACGAATTATGATTGGTTAACTCGGAGGTGATTATCAGAGTCTTATTCACCACCACTTGGGTCAATAACTGTAAAATATCAACGAAATGGAAAGCGTCTAAAAAAGCGTAACTTAATGTAGCGTGACATGACATAGCAAAACAAGGCAATTTAATTTCACCGGTATCCCACAGTTTGACAATAAGTTTACAGCAAAAATCACAAGTTTCCTCAGGCTTCCTTAAGCTTGGATCACCTTATATCCGTTATTATCGGTGACCTCACCTTGCTTCAGCAACTTGTTCCTCAATAACGCTAGTGAGAAGACAAATACACCCCTTGATGTGGTTTCGTGGTTCGCTAATTGTTCTTACGTACGTTCGAAACAATTACAAACACCGTCCGATTTACCATCCGGAGTTTCTGACACCAAGCAGAACGCTGATCATTTTTTAATCAGAATCTCGGCGTTTGAAATTATAGCGCTCGCCTGTTCTCTAATCCGAGTATGAATCCATCCTGCTGAGCGAGCCATGCCTACAAAAACATAAATCAGTTTGGCGAGTACAAAGTTTATCAGCTGCGTCTTTTCCTCGCTGTTTCTCAAGTGTATGGCTATTTTAATTCTTCTCTTACACAAAGTGACGTCAAAAGGCTTTCAAACGACGCTAGGGGGCAAGATAGACAACAGCTTGCAATTTAACTACATGTCAACTTGTTAAAACCTTGTTTCCTTTAATTTAATGACGCTTCCTCGATACTTTGGCTTCCTAACTCGAGGCTTCTTTATTGCATGTTACGACTGTTACAGAAAACTTAAAGGTAGTATAGTAAAAAGAGTAAAAAAACCTTTATACTGAAAACAATAAATATACATAACGTCTCCAAGCTTCGCCCAATGAGATTTATCTTTGCATTCATGATTTAACAGTCAACCATAACTGTAATGTTCTTGTTCCAAGAGTACGATGGAATTGGATAAACACAGCTTTAGCAAACAAGGTCTAAGTTTTAATCCAACATGGCTAACCGGTATTGGTACCAATGCGCTTGTCTATACTTGTACGCAATACCACTGATTATTACGATAACTTCTTCACAATTTAGTTAAACTCAGTAAATCTAACCCATTTTCTAAAAATTGTATTCTTAACTTGTGTTCTGCTATTTACATTCTGTGAAAGTCCATGGTACAAGAACTCGTTTACGTTGAATATATGCTAGACATATTGTAACTTACACTATGAAAATTAACTAAGAAAAATTGTCACGTTAGACTCAATCAACCCCTGCATGTAAACCATGCTGAACATATTTGCTCCAAGAGGAGTACCACAAAAAGTAGGAAAAAAAAATTGTAATTGTTCAGCACTCAAACTATAGCTTCGAAAGCTTCCATAATTACTACTTACTCAGCAAAGATATTATATCTGAAAGACTGAATGAATATTTATACTTGAGCAATGTAAAAATGTAATCTATAACATTAAAACCAAACGTATCTCAGCCTAGTGACCTTTGTTAACCTTTTTCGTACAATATAATATGCATTTTGAATACTTCACCATTTATGGCGCAAAGAAAGAAAAGTTAAATATTAAATAGCGCAGAAACTAAGCATCTATCTACTAACACCGAAGTCTAGCGATTGTGTCCATAATACAAGTAGAATAAAAGAGAAAATGTGGAACTTAAATAACTTGACTTCATTTTAAACTTGCTTGCAGTACACTAAGGAGAAACTGCCTATTACCTGAGTGCGTTATTTCCTTTGTCGTATTGGAATTAATAGACTTTTTGATTTGTCCAAATTAAATAAGTGTGCCATTCATAGTTTTACAATACTACCACTTTTTACTACCGTATGGTATCCCTCTGGAACGCTCTGCCTCAAAATATTAAGTTAAGTCACTCGTTAGCTCATTTTAAGACCTTGATGAGGAAAAGACTCTTAATGGATAGCTAACTGAATTTATCTAGTAGGGAGTACTTTAATTCTTCTAATTCTTTCGCTTCTATTAGATTTGAATTTTTAAGTGCATTTTAAATTTTATTCACTAGAATTAATTTTATTGTATTTTATTGTTGTTTTGTTACATATTTTACTGAAAAGCCCCTTGGGACGTGGAATAAGCGTATGTACGTTATGTATGTTAACTATAACATATCATTATAATGAAATTCACGAATTTTTATCGGCTCAGCCATCATGGTATATGAGCCATTATACCATGCGCTACAAATATGGAAAACGTACGTTTAAGGTTTGTTTTTATCAGTATATCTTATTTTACTTTAGTTTTCTATATTTTCAGTAAAATAATTATTCCACTCCTGCTTGTTGGATCTGAGATGATTATATCGAACTTGCGCTCGTGGAATAATCGTTAATTAGACACCCAAATATCACCAAAACACAAGCGCTTCCGTATGTTTCTTGTACGTCTAACCCGACGATAAATTCTCTAAAAAGGACGCTATATTCATGAATTATGGATGGTAACAACTAAAATACGTAGTTCTGACAACAAGGTAACAGTTTTTTTGTACATTCGGTCTTAAGTTCTCTGTGTTTTTGTTCTTTTCTCTTCTTCTATACATGATAAGGTGGGAATGCTTCAGTATGATAGAGACTCTAAGAAATTAGAAGGTCCCCATCCGACTTTCTCTGATGTTCGCACGAGCCACCAGCCATTCTCGCTTCGTTGAATCACTTCTACTTCATCTCCCTCCCTGAAGGCAACTTCACCATCGCCAGCAGAATCATACGAGTACATCGCTCTGTAGAATCTTTGGCAAGCAGTGCTTTCATTTTGATCACTCTCGTTATTAATCTCCGAATTAGACTCTCTGGGAGAAGTATTCAACGGCGCTACCGACCCACTATCGCAGCTTGTAAACTGGCTCATTCCGCTTGCAGAAATCTTTCTTTGAAATGGAACAGGACTGTTTCTTTCTGAACGTGATATTCTGCTTGTTGAGGAGATGTCATTCAAGCTCAACCCCATTTCGTTCTTGTCGTGTTCCATGGAGGATGGAGATTTTGAACGAAGCATCCCTGGAGAAGGATTCCACAATACCGGGCCGCCCTCGATAGTGTCAAACCGAGGATATGTGGCACACTTCTTGATGCCGGCATTAGTAGAATCTTCCTCGTTAAGAGCGTCAGGCGACACAAGGGACGAAAAGCTCCCGGTGAGCGAGCTTTCATACCCGCTGCTTGAAACGGAGAATTGGCGAGTTTGGAATGGACTGTGAACTTCTCCCTGATTAAACTCGCAAAATCGGGACTGGGGCAAGGAGCTTGACAAGGATACGCCTGTGGAACGCATTGAATCCATTCTGTTCATGGGCGGGGTATTTGCTGTGTCTGCTACTGGAACTGATGGGCTGGATTTCGGTCCAGATGTGATGATTGTCTCGCCGTTGCCGTCTTCTCCGTCTGGTATACTCTTGCAGAGTGGTCTTTGAACCTTTCGGTAATAAGAACCAGATCGTTATTCACATCAAGAGGAAATGAGAGTTGATTACTAGGAAGACAGGAATGTTTAATACGCTCAGTGCATATCATAAGGGTTCGTACGACCACAAATTTGTGTTTGTAGCTATCTTAAAGGCGGCTCAAGACAGTTTCCAGCAGTTAGATTTTGATGGGTCATTATAAGCACTCTTTATCACTTGATGCTACAATCATGGTATCAAAGAAATTAATTAATTAATTAATTGGTTGATTAATTGGTGAACACGTTATCATTTTCGTCGCACAAAAGGTTACCATAGCAACAGTATGACCTGCCAAAAACACCATTAATTACAGCTTTAGGGGCTTATAATTCAAAACCCGCACGATGAAATTCTTTTATATTATCAAACTTTAACCAGCATGATTTTAATTTTAAGGTGGTTCTGAACCCTATGTACAATTTTTTTTCAAACTTTTACAAAAGTTGCCTTTTATCATGAGTATTAAAATTTGATAATATATAAAAAAATTAACCGTGCCGTTTTTGAATGTTAAGTCCCTAAAGCTGTGATCAAGGGTGTTTTTAGCAGGTCATACTGTTGCTATGGTTACCTATTGTGTCACGGAAATGATAACAGCTTGTTCACCAATGATTGGGCAGTTTTTGATTTTTTATCACTTGATTGTAGCACGATCCATCAAAATCTGACTGCTTTGACCTGTTTTGAACCACCTTAATTTAGATCTCTACAGAATTGAAAATTCTCACCATGCTTCGCCTTGTAGGAGTTGTCCGCCGCTGGATTCTTTGGCTGTCGCCATCTTCAGAATCTGCCAAGAAGAAAACGTCATAAGGCTTCAGATGGAAAACGTCTTTACATTTACGGGTTAATAAAAGAATATAAAGCGACATCCTGGCAAGTTTGTGTTAGCTAAAATATAGCACTAGGGGGATTAAAATGAACGCATTTCCCACTCCAAAAAATCGCTTTCAATGAATGCTAAAAAAGTGAAAATGATACTTTAGGAATAAATGATTGATTGACTGATTGATTGATTGAAAATTGAAAGAAAAGGTTAGTCTCTTATAGACGTTTTAACAACTCGCCTTCATGATATGAGGCAAAAAAGGTTGAGTGGAATATTCAGTGACAGCAGCTTACCTCCGGTGAAGGAAACTGTGTCCAAAGGATCTTTTCCCCCTATCATTGAAGTGGAGGATTCATCAGAATTGACTCTTTTTAGGAGCATGGCAGGAGCCCAGCCTTCCTCTCCCTGGTACCTAATGAAATAATTTTAATGCTGTGTAAGTAATTGACATCGTTTTTGCAGAATCTGAGAAGATGAACTGAACAATCCAAAAATAAATCCAAAGAATGTCAGGAAAGGAATTTCAGACAACAACAACAACAACAACAACAACAACAACAGCAAAATAGAACAAATGCAAATATTTTTTTTATTTACCTTACGAGCCACCATCCATCTAAAGTCTTTTCCACCACTTTAAGCATTACGTCAGCATCAAAAGTCAGCTCATCGTCAGCTTTAGCCTGATAGCTTTCTAGAGACATGTATATCTCCTCTGTTGAATTGAAGCAAAATACACGGTCACCTTTATCACTGTGTACTTTACAGATACTTCGATGCTGGAAAACGGCACATACTTCTGATATATTAACAATCCGACGTACAAGAGATTTACTCTGTCGCGATGAAACTTTCAGTAGCTGTTAATTCATTCCGAGCAGAAATTTTGATGTGTCAATAGTTTTACCACGTCATTTTGGTAAAAAACGGTAAAGTCTGCACACGAGCCAAGTGGCCCATCAGGCCGGAGCTTATCCCGGTTTCTGTAGCATGAAGCCACTAAGAGTATTTCTACTCCCCCCTGGATGGGATGCTAGTCCAT